AGTGCTGAGGGCTTTGGTGACGAGACTCTGGCAGCCCATCTAAGAAAAAGACATTCGGGGAATTTTAAGTGGTTTGGATCAGCAGTTGTCATGTACAATTGATGTTCATTTATATTTTACTAGCCAAAATCTAATGCTGCCCCAAATTGGGAAAGAAATATTTCAAATACTAATCAGGCCCAATCCTGCTTTAATGTGAAAAATGAGCTGTCCTACCTTTTTTCAATCCTAGTCTCAGAAGAGAGATTTAATATTTCCTGACAGTGCTTTAAATACTTTGCTGTTCAGACTTCAATGAATCCACAATAATTATATCAGTTAAACCAGCTTGGTTTTTCCAAAGCTGTCTCCAGCTTAGGGGACTTTTGAACTCCTTATCATGGCGTTCATTCTTTGATACTAGGTTTAATAGAGGAAGAGCTGATGATACTCAGAGGATCACCATTTAACCCTTTAACCCATTTACCTATTAGCTATTTTTATTTTTTGGTTTTTGTTTTAACCTATCAATTCAGGGCTCTACAATTTCCCAGCCTCCTCCTTTCCAGGCACTTAATTGCACTGAATCTAGGAGCCATATGCTATTCCTAGTGAAGAGTTTCAAGGGAGGCCCAATGGTTTATAATTCCCAGAAGATCAAGCAATGAAGACTTCAGTAGATTATCATTAAGAACTGACTTAACAGTGAGTATCTAACCAAGCCTTTTATAGGAGCTTTTATTTTGTCATTTTGATAAAGAAGGCTAAAAAATGACCTTTGTTTCACAGATAGGGAAAGCATGAGATGGTTCACCATTGCTTTTTGTGGGGGGGAAATAGTACCAGGTTCTTTAGCTGGAACTCAGTTCCACTCATTCCTCATCACTCCTCAAGAAATCCAACAATTTCATCATAGTTGTGTCTTCAGTCAGTATACTCATTCTTACCGAACCACACTCTCCAGTAAAATGAGAATTTCTCAATGCACTGTATTGGCAATCTCCAGCCTTCATCTCCACGAGGGTTGAGCAAACAAAGGAGCACAGTTGAGAATGATTTTCCATCAGAGGAACAGCCAAGGAGCACTAAACACACTTACGTACAGCCACAAGGCAAGCATAGGAGTTGGAAAGCCTCCCCTCTGTGTGCGCAAGGCAGCGGGCCTCGCCTTCTGAAGATGTCAGGGAATGGTAGGTGGAGACCCTCTTTATTTCCACAGATGACCCCTAAATCTCTCCAGAATCTGTCTTGACTTCTTGGGAAGTGCAATTAATACCGCTACAAACCAGTGATCACATTTGGGAACTCTTTCATTGCTTTCCTATAATTTCTTGTGTAAAAATAATCAGAATCTGTAGAGTGGATGTTTATTAATAAAAAAAAGAAATTATCAAAGAGATGAATATAAATGGTTAAGAAATCAGAGCAGGCTTGCACAACACAGACATCGCAGGGTCGAAATTGAGGAGAGACGATAATAATGTTTGCTTTGAGCTTCTCACTCCACATTTATGATGTTTCCCCTTAATTTTCTCATAATTAGTGATTTGCTATTTTACATGTCACCACGTCTTATAAATCCAGACTTTCATTTGATGCTCTGTTTTTTAATCCTATCTTACCCATTGACAATGATGCTCCAGGAGAAATATCAGTAACTAAATTTGCTATTTTTACTCTGAGTGGGAAAATTTTCGATAATATTAACAGGCTAACTTAGAAAAGGTCACTTCTTAGGGCAATGGGTTTGGACTATTTGTAGGATTAATGCCAAATTGGGATGCTATGGTGGTAAGACTTTCAAATTTGGGAGTCAGAGGACACAAGGTCTAGTTCTGATTTGGCCCTTTATTAATTATAGGAGCTGCTTAGTGGAATATGTGTAATTTAAACTTCCCCTTTTAGTTCATAGGAAGTATATAGCTATGCATATATTGGTTAGCTCAAGCTACACCTGAAGAGTGTCATTTGCTCTAATCAAAATTTCACACCATAGGTGTTGTCAGCTAGTCTTCT